TAAATCAGAGGAAGTGCCGGGACGAAGGGTTCTGCGGCCCGGCAGCGAGATCTGCCGTCGGAACGTCCTTCGTCGTCTGCGAATGAAATTTCAGTCAGGTGCATCTTATAACGGACGATTACTTAGGAGACCCACCCAATTAACCCCCTGCTCCCGATTCCGACGCCGGTTGTCAAGCGCCATGTATGTGCGCATTCCGAGCGCGATGCTGATGCCCGTGACCTGCAAGCACGCAGATATAATCAGGGCATGCGTGTACTTCGGCGCGTCTGAATTGAGGAATATGTCTGCGCGCGGGCGTGCCTCCAATCAGTATAGCGCAAGGATGAGATAGGATGCAGACTGACTAGCGGACACAAGCCCGCCCGCGTTGGCTGCGAAGGTGAGGAAACCCGTGCGGAAAGCGCGCCCGTTCTCGGACGGGTCGTTGTTGTTGTGCCAGGAGTGGAAGAGGGCGGTAGGGACGAAGGCGCCTGCGGGTGAAATCAACGGTAAATGCCCCGAGATGGAATTGATTCAGTGCCAAGGACACACCCATCGTGATAAGGAAGCACGCAAAGTACCCGGGGCCGATGTCAGTTATGGGCAGCGCCACGAGGATAATCTGCGCGTTTGAATATTGGAGTAGGCGGATAAATTCAAGCACGTACGCAGCCAATTGTGGTGAGCGTCATCGCGGCTACCAGAAACAACGAGCGCTGTCGCAGGCGGTCGGAGGCCTACGCATTTGCCCACAGGTATAGAGTCGCGGCGCAGTAAGGAGCCACGTGTATAGGTTCGTTTTGACCTTCCCAAGGTTGAACCGCCCGATTATCTGGGGCATGAAAGTCGTCGCGGTGGAGGACGCGGTACCATAGCACTACAACCGCGATCAATTTTGAAACGCTGTGGGCGAGAAAGAAGTTTAACTCACGACAGCGAACACCGCGAAGACGTAGAACTTCCACTCCCGGAGCGGGGCGAAAAATTCTATGTAGTTAAATGGTGCATTTACGCTCTTAGATGCATCTTTGAGTAAGCTATATATGCCAGTCAGTCCAATCGTAAATCACTCTGCTGGGATAATCACTTACCGCAACAGCGACCTCCTTCTCCAGCGGCGTGAGGAACGACGCCTACTGGGGATAGTTGGGCAGCACCACTCTGAAAGAAGGGTAAGCCGAAGTCTAAGTACAGTCATAGGAACGCGGCTTGCATCGCTATGAGCGCAACAACAACAGTCATCCCACCCTCAAGTAGACACGGCCCGAGTATATCAGGTCTATCACAGTAGACAGATTTCCTCGATTTGAACGTCGATTTCGCGTGGATTTCGAGCTGGATTTCGAACGACTTTTGGTGACCGGATCTGTGACTGGTTCCCAACGCATCTTGCCGGTCGTTGATGTGATTGATGTGTGATTGTTGCGCCTCTTTCGTCGGGATCCCGACATGACTGCCATCTCTCCGAATCCCGCCCGGATGCATATCAGCCTCTGAATTCAACGTAGCAAATAGTTTACTTCAGAAAATAGACAGTTGAATAAAGATGCCCTACTATCTCCAGAGCCCACCACACGGGGTATGTTCTCATGAAGAAATTGAGCTCGCTGTTGTGCACGATGAGCGGCGAACATTGAGCGGCGTGTTTGATGGATGATGGATATCAAAAGTTTGAAGAGGTCGGAGATGCCGAAATCCCATTTCGTTTGATTTCGCTGAGCAAGCAGAGTTGATTTCGTCACGCTCCATCACGCTCGCAAATGAAATCTGGATTGAAATCCAGGTCGAAATCAGAGCGGAATCAGCCACTGTGACAGGCCCTATTAAGCAAACCAGTGAATGCACCCGAAATCGCGCTAAGTCCCAGATGAAATTTGTTCGGAATGGACGGATAAGAATAGTTCGTTTTCGTTTTTTGATCCAAAGACAAAGAGCCCGAGAGAAAAGAAAGAGTCGATCCTCGAGACTGGATGCATGGGATTCGATGCGATACGAAGGATGAGTACTAGTGTTGGCCCCAGCTGCAAAGATGCAAAGATGGCGATGGTGCGAACGCGAGCCGGAAGGAGAGCACCAGAAAACGACACGCGCACCCGAGTCGGCTCTACTGAAAAAAAATACGGAGAGAATCAAGAAGACGTACTCATCGAAGTAACGTTGCCTAGGTCGTGAGGTGGACATTTATTGCTTGAGATGATTGATGTGAGTGAGAAGCCGGTAAGTGCACTGCGGAAGTGCACGTGCAGATTTCGGCGGCTCGGTCTTCCCCTGTGAGTGGATATGCGAGTCGAGTCTTTGGGCCCTCGGAAATATCCCGAGACCGAGACCAGAGAACAGGGAAGATTTTGCGGCTATGCCATCCCCTGGCTGGATGGCCGCGGAATGGAGTGATTCGGTTGCGGAAAGATGGTATGGGCGCTGGAATGCCCACATAATATGTGTTGTGTTATTCGGAGTGGGCAGGTCGATTCTTGTCTCGACGTGCACAAAAAATCCCGTTCCGTAGGGTACGAGTTCTTCAAAAAGACATGGGGATGTTTTAAAGTTGGCCATGGCAACCATGCGAGCCTTTCTTGCATTAAAGCGCCGATTGCATGAGGAAAAGTGGTGTCGGGTTACAACATGTCGGCACTCGAGCCTTCATGCCCTCAAATCCGGGAAAGCAATACAAGTTTGGAAACAGCCCTGTACTTGGGTGAGGAGACATGTTCCGCTAACCTAAAGCATAAATAACGGCCGGAACCGAATATATCACAGTCTAAGCATCTGGCGAGACTTCAATGTAAGCTATGTGATAAAACGGCGTGCCCAGGAGAAGTAGATGATTGACTCGCAACCGCGGTAACCGATCTCCTCCCTATATTGTTGAAGAACAGATGCTGTCATCCCTTGTCCATGTATGCCGAGGTCAAGGGACGCAAACGATTTCTTCAATGCCAAACCCAATTCATTCTTCGCTGAATCTATGGCCTCATTATCTTCCCCATATCAAAAAGGGATGAAATGGAAGTCGCCCACCTGAGCCGGTGCCAGACAGAGGAACAGTTATCTTGGTGACGTTGATATCCTCGAAAACAACCAGCGAAGTAATAATACCCTCCAATTTTCTCCCGATTTCCATATCACCTCCGCGGGCAGTTGCCAACTGCATCAAAGTCGATATGAACCGCTGAACCGCAGGGCCTCCAGTGGATACCAAGTTACTGATATCTAGGTCCTCGATGAGCAGTAAGCCGCCGGGTCTCACCAGGCGAGCGGCACGTTCAATCACGTCCTTTCCATTCGAAACCTGTTCCACTTTTATCAATCAAAGCAAGACGTCCCGTTGAAAGCAACCAACGTGGCACATGACGAGGCGAGCGTGCACGATGGCAAATGTTTCCGTTTCAAAATTCAGTTCTTGAGTCAAGTCTGCCAGCTGAAAGTGAATATTGGAGGGAAGGATCCTGGGTGTAGGTTTTAAAAGCCGGAAAGTTTCGCTATGCGAAGCACTCACCGATTTGGAAGCGGTGATTTGTCTATCGCATGTATTTCGGCTTCGGGGAACTGTTTTGCTGCCTGTATCGCCCTGCATAAAGCGCTGAATGTCGAGATTCCAAGCCCGAACTGGGCAGCCAGCCTACCATGCGCCGCTGCCACACCTGCAGTCGTGGCTCTGTACGATTCTGTTTCAACAAACAAGATATTCACTCACCCTAGATCTAGGATTTTCCGGGGAAGCACTTCAGCCATGGGGGCAAAAGAAAGCTCTCCACCGAGATAAACAGAAAAGGCTGCATGCATCTCGTCCAGTCTTCATATGTTTCAGAGTTTATATGAGGGATTGAAATCCGTCGCACCGCTTCAACTCCTCCTGTACCTCGTACGCCGGCTAAGGATGAGAACGGGGTGAATATCGCTCCCCACCTCGAAGTACTCCCACGTACTCTGAAAAGGTATGCCCCGTCGGACTCGGTCAAAGATTGTTCCTCCTCCTTGAACATTTCGACGGTACACAAGGCGCGAAAAAACAGAAAGGCTCCACAAGCTTGTTGTGGAGAGAGGGAAGAGGCGGCAATCATAACGGCGACTCGGAGTTAGCAGATATAGCTGACCTTGACTCAGTACCACCATCTCGCAAGAAAAATGGAGCAGTGAGACGGCAACATCGTCGTATTTCTGCAGAGACACGAGGGGAGAGAACAAGAGGGATTTGATCTCCGACTCCCGCTATGAATTTGCCACTCCGTTCTGTGGTACAAACCTGTGGCTGTGTCTTGGGCATAGCCACCCGTTTTGTACCAGAACGGAGCAGCAACATAATAGGGCAGGGCAGGCATTTTTCTGGGGTACACGGTAGAGAACACAGGGCGCGCACAGGGACGGCGAGTTGAGACCAGGAAGGACAAGAGTAATTTGGCGCGCATACTTGTCCCCCTCCATTCCGAGCCCCTCGCGCGCGCCTTCCCCTCGTGCCTTCTTCCTTCCCTCCCCGCGTACATCCTGCACCCCACCTCCAGTCCATGTTGTCCATTTACCCATTCTTCTCTGCCTATCCGCATTGTGCCACTCGCTCCTCGTCATTTCCCTCCTCACACCCGTGCTCTATTTGTCTCTCCTGCGTTTTCCGTCGGCTCTGCGCGCCTTGATTCTTCCTCCTCTCCTTCCTTCAAGTTCTCGTTCCCTTACCATCTTTCGTTCCCTTACCATTTCTCCCTGCGACTCATCTGATCGTCCCCATCCCTTCTCGTTCCTACACGTTCGTGCTCCTCAGCATCTTCCCGAAGTTCCGCTCTCCCCTTCTCCGCACTGTCCGCCCTCTCCCGATCGCGTCACTCCCTCGGCCGTGCGTTCATTAGTAAATCCTACCAGCTATCTTCCTTAGAAAATGAATTCACTTCAGCTTCAGGTCTTGAGCGCTTGAGCTTGAGCCGAGAATCTATCCAAATCCTGAGGTCATTCCTTTGTCTGGTCCTTTCCTCTCATCATGTAAGCAGCTTTCTCTCGTACTTTATCCACAAATCTCGCTATGTAGTAAAGACCTGATAGCATAACTGGTAGTGCTTCTGCTTTGAATAGTTGCAAACTGGGACAGTTTAAGTAGATGATTTCTGTTCGATTCAGGGTTAGGTCATGAATCCCTGTCAATGACACACTCTTTTTGTTCTCCTTTCCGTTATTGAATTAATTCACCCAAGAATCCCATTGGATAAAAACAACCTTATAGCATCTTTCCCCGTCTCGTTCCTAGCCAGATAATTGCTGAAGTTAAATTCCGCTCGGGTATCACCGACGGGGCGAACGGCCGTGGCGCGAACCCGACCTCGCCGTCGAAGACTCGTGTCAAGCTCCATAATCGCGCCGTACTTATCATACCCAACTCGGGCTCCGAGTTCAGGTTCGCGTCGACGGTGAAGGTTCTGGCACGCTGCAGGTGCAGGTCCTTTTCAACATGGGCGGGAGCATGGGTCCCAAATCTATCAGTATAGACCCCAGAGCCACCATTGTCCTCAGTTATCATTTCTGCTCTCGTACCAAGCCTCGCGTAATCTAATCGCAAACCCAAGACAGTTCAATACGAATCACAGGAAGTGCCGGAATGAAGGGTTCTGTGGCCCGGCTGCGAGATCCGCCGTAGGGACGTCTTTCGTCGTCTGCGAATGAATGTCAGCCGAGCACACGGTGTAGACTATTGGTGGACCCACCCAGTTAACTCCCTGCTCCCGATTCCGACGCCGGTTGTCAAGCGCCATGTATGTGCGCATTCCGAGCGCGATGCTGATGCCCGTGACCTGCAAGCACGCAGATATAATCAAGGCATGCGTGTACTTCGGCGCGTCTGAATTGAGGAAGATGTCTACGCGTCGGTGTGCCTCCAATCAGTATAGCGCAAGGATGAGATCGGATGTAGACTGACTAGCGGACACGAGCCCACCCGCATTGGCTGCGAAGGTGAGGAAGCCCGTGCGGAAGGCGCGCCCGTTCTCAGACGGGTCGTTGTTGTTGTGCCAAGAGTGAAAGAGGGCGGTAGGGACGAAGGCGCCTGCGGGCGAAATCAACGGTAAATGCCCCGGGATGGAATTGATTCAGTGCAAAGGACGCACCCATCGTGATGAGGAAACATGCAAAATACCCGGGGCCGATGTCAGTTATAGGCAGCGCCACGAGGATAATCTGCGCGTTTGAATATCGGAGCAGCGGATAAATTCAAGCACGTACGCATCCAATTGTGGTGAGCGTCATCGCGGCTACCAGAAACAACGAGCGCTGTCGCAGGCGGTCGGAGGCCCACGCATTTGCCCACAGGTATAGAGTCGCGGCGCAGTAAGGAGCCACCGTGTATAGGTTCGTTTTGACCTTCCCAAGGTTGAACCGCCCGATTATCTGGGGCATGAAAGTCGTCGCGGTGGAGGACGCGGTACCATAACACTACAACCGCGATCAATTTTGAAACGCTGTGGGCGAGAAAGAAGTTTAACTTACGACAGCGAACACCGCGAAGACGTAGAACTTCCACTCCCGCAGCGGGGCAAAAAATTCGGTGTAGTTGAATGGTGCATTCACGCTCTTAGATGCATCTTTGAGCAAGCTATATATGCTAGTCAGTCCCATCGTAAATCCCTCTGCTGGGATAACCACTTACCGCATAACAGCGACCTCCTTCTCCAGCGGAGTGAGGAACGACGCCTGCTGGGGATAGTTGGGCAGCACCACTCTGAAAGAAGGGTAAGCCAAAGACCAAGTGCAGTCATGGGAACGCGACTTGCATCGCTATGAGCGCAACAACAATAGTCATCCCGCCCTCAACTAAACACGGCCCGAGTATATCAATGTTCGCCGGAAGATATCGATATTGATTCAACTTACTGATGAACAGGATTTTCCACCCAGAGAGCACGGCGTCGGCATGGAACACACTGGTCAATAACATCAGCACTGGATACCAAGTTATCTGGCGGCTAACGACGCACCCATACGCAAGCAAACCAGCAAATGCACCCGAAATCGCGCTAAGTCCCAGATGGAATTTGTTCGGAATGGATGGATAAGAATAGAGACTTACGCAGAAGAGTACCACGCTGCCATGCGCTTGCCGAGCTCTCCCCGGGTGTAGAAGGACGTGAGGTAAATCGTGACCGAGGGCCCGAAGAATCCCTCGAACTATGTTGGCCATTGATCAGCCCAGACATAAAATGATACGAACGCCCACGTACCATCCCGAGGAAAAACCGAATCACAATAATTCCCCCGAAGTTGCGCGCCGCGATGTTGATGAGGGCCATGGCTAAATTCCGAGTTAATAGATTTCAGGATGCGTGTAATTGAAGGACGTACAGCCCCAGCCGAGCATGTAGAGCGGGAGCATGCGCGTGGGCCCGAAGCGACGCGTCAGGAAGCCACCGACGATCGCGCACGATGCGAACATTACTATATAAGATGAGTCCACACCGACGGGGATGGCGTCGAATTACCGGTCATCGTGGTTAAGACACTGTAAAGATCGTCAGATCCGAAGATGCGAGACATCCGGGGACTCGGCTGGCACCTGTTATACTGATTCCCCGTCAATCCGACGTCTTTCTCGAGAGTGTCGGTCTGCAAAATTCATTAAGCGACTAGAAGGAAAGAAACGGTCGAGGCCTACCTTGGCGTTCGCTGCGAGATCGAGCTACGGTTAACCTTGCAAGGCGCTGGGAAGGAGAGGGATCTCACAAAGATTGCCGCGGTCCAACGCACTGAAGAGGTCTAAAGTAAAAACGGTGAGGAAATAGAGCAAGGCATCCACCAGAGATCCACGCACACATGAAGAAAACCATGGGTATAATCCGTTGGTCATACTTGCGGGTGATAATCCGCGAAATTTCAGGGTCGATGACATAGTTGTCGATCTCCTCTTGCGTGTAATCGAACGTCTCTGAGAGCAGGAGTCCTGCTCTGGGAGTAGAAGCAAGCTTGACATCGGCAAATTTCTCGCTGCCGTGGTCTGAGATTGACGGCGCCATGAGAGAAGAGAGGACACGGATTCCGAATGCAAGATAGCCCCGAGCGTCATGGTCTTTTACACCATCGGCTGGCGAGATAAGGCCTCCAGGACGGATTTGTTATGCAGCAGAGGAATGCATTATGCGATAGCAGCGATTTTAAGTCATCTTCGTCCAAATATTCCTTCTGAGGCGCGCGCGATGCCCACATGAAGTTACAAATCTCGCCCGTTTGTTGTCTGGGATGGTGAAAAATTAAGACGCGGAGTGGTTGAACTAGAGGGCTCTGAAGACAGGCTAGCCTCAGGCGATAAGCACTTCTAGAAGTCGACAATACGCAAGTCGGATGTCGTCATCGCAGATTTGATCATCATTGCAAAAACCCGCGGGCCGAGTGATAGCGAGTGCATCAAATTTGGGAGGGATTTCCATTACCAGTTCGAATCCCAGAGGATGAATGAGAGTTGAGATGCTCGAGCTATCCTGGTGTGCAGTAATGTTTGAGACGGCACTTTAGACGCGGGGGAAAACTAAAGGAAGAGACCGGCATCGAAAGGCTAGGAAGAGAATGGAATGGGTGATCGCCGCTGGCCGACGGCGATCAGCTGCGATAACCTGATAAGGAATAGATAAACGCCCACGGACCGGTGCAAACTCGGCGCTAAACCTCTCTCCTTCTCCACTATGGGATCTTCTCAGTCAAGTGCACAAGCCACCCCCGAGGGGGGGAAAGCGTTTCCTATTCCCAGGGGGATGTCGCTGTCGTACTGGCTGCAGGGCGTGCGAGCGTCACCTCTCCTCGACCATCGCACTACCGAGGAGCTTCCCAAGACCGCAGATATCGTGATAATTGGGTCTGGGGTACGTCTCTGCAGCGCTACCGGTCCGAATTAACGTCTGACAACTGTTTAGATGTCTGGAACACTCACCGCCTATGAGCTGCTCACGCGTCCCAATCCTCCGAAGAGCATCGTGATCCTGGAGGCGCGCGAGATGTGCTCGGGGGCGACAGGACGAAATGCGGGCCACTGCAAGCCGGATCAGGTGAGACCACTGGATTTCCACTGTGCGGACTCATCATCGCTATCCTGTAGTACCGCGGCTTCGCCAAGTACGAGAAGATATTCGGTGCTGAACAGGCGAAGAAGGTGCGGCATATTCCCATCAGAATGTCATGTCGTATAATGGATTTCAGCTTCTCGAGCACGAGTTCGAAACATGGAGTCGCCTCGTCGAATTTGTTGAGAAGGAGAAGGTCGACTGCGAACTGTGGGTTGGGGATACGGTTCGTTTTACGCTTCTCAAAAATAACGCGACTCCTCACCGTCCATTCCAGCTCGACGTGGCTATGTCGCAGGAGCTCGCGAGCAAAGCAGCCGCCGTGTTCGACGCGTACAAAGCGTATGGCGGCAAAGTCGACCACATCACATATATTTCTGACCCCGCGGAAGCGGAGAAGGTATTATTTTCCCGTCCATTTCATCGTAGCCGATGACTGAGCGCTCCAGGTATCGCGCCTCAAAGGCGCACAGGCCATCTGGGCCTGGAAAGCGTCAACCCTCTACCCCTGGAAGCTTGGTGAGCCCTTGCTTGAGTTGAGACCTTCCAGAACATTGACGTCCGAATGTAGTTGCGCACCTCATGAATACCTGCCTCAGCAAAGGACTCAACCTGCAGACTTGGACGCCTGTCACTTCTGTCACGGCCTCGGCAGAAACCCCCGGACTCTGGGACGTCAACACTGCGCGCGGGGCCGTGTCAACGCCGACCGTCGTTTACGCGACGAACGCGTACACGTCCTCCGTCCTCCCTTCCTTCGCGAAATACATTCAGCCCACGGCGCACATGTGCAACAAGGTCGTCCCGCCGCGCGCGTTTGCCGGCGGCAAGGCGCTGCAGAACTCTTACGGCGTGATGGCGGCGCGCGGCGGGCTCTACAGCATCAACCCGCGCTGCAGCGCCGACGGCGTCGTCCTCTTCGGCGGCAGCAACCCGAACCAGAGCCAGCTCAAGGCGTATCTCGACGCAGATCCGGCGCGGCTGTTCGACGACAGTCTGAGCAATTTCAAGCCCGTTACGGACGCCGTGGATGAGCTGACGTCCAGCGCGTTTGAAGGGTGGGGGGACGACGCGCCCGCGCCCGGGGTCGGCC